TGTGTGTGTGTGTGTGTGTTTATATGTATGTTTGTATGTGCACTCAAATATGTGTGCCTGTGCATATATGTGTGTTTGTGTATATGTAAGTGCTCACGTGTGTGCGTGTGCACGTGTGTGTGTGTTTGTGTGTGTGTGTGTGTGTGTGTGTATGTGTGTGTGTTTGTGTGTGTGCATGTGTACATTTGTGTATTTGTCTGTCTTTGTCTCCAGTGCATCGTCTTTGTATGTGAGTATATTATTATGTGTTGTATGTGTCTGCGCATAAAACATACAAACGCACTTGTGATTTTAATACGACTGTTTTCATTCATTGGTCTAAAATATTAGGAGAGCGAAACCAACGACCCAACAACGCTTTCAGAAGTTTAAGAAAAAAATATAAGAGTTGGGAAAAGGGAGATAAGAGGGGGGGGGAAGCAATAACAATTTTGTGGGAAATTATGCTAAGCCTGTTCAAAAACATGCCGTCCCGATATCATCAACGCTGTCTGCGGTATGCTAACCACTCTTTACGCCCTACGTAGTACATGTAGATCCATACGTAGGCCTGCCCTGTGGGAATCGACAAAACAAAGCCATAAAACAGCGGTGTGTCCCGAGAAGATAGACTTGGCTCCACTTCTGACTCAACGCAGTTTCGGGGTTGAGGGAGGGAGTAGGTGGAAAGACTTAGAGAGTGGGGGTGGGGGGGGGTGTGTTTGTGTTTGTGTGGTGGGGGGGGGTGAGAGACAAAAGGAGGACACCTTTTCACCTTTGACCTGACCAGTTCTATGTTTCTATAATGCGAGTACATACATAGCGGATGTCTTTAAAAATGTGGACCCTTTTAAAGGACAATAGCTCGGTCATTATTTTGACCAATTTCAACGAAACTTTGGGGAGACAACATTCAACCAGGATGACATTTCAACTGTCAAAAAGAGAACAAAATGCCAACCACCATGTTCGAAAAGTATCAAGATTTTAACTATTCAACCAAAAATGAGTGAAACGCAAAACTTTGCAGCTTCTTACAAATCAACCAGCCTGTTCTATTTAAAGTATTCACAATTTGTGCATTAAAGAACAAGTTTATGCAAAAATCATTTTGCCAGATATACTCAGGGAGAAAAACGCCATTTAAATCTCCAGGTGTTGAGCATTTCTCTCCATACAGGCTTCGATAAGGCACGTTTTTGGGGGGTCGATTCTTTGGACGTCCAGTTCAACATTGAGTTTCAACTGTTCGATTATTTATGGCGTTTTTCCTTTGACTCCGTCCGTCATAAAAACCTAAAGATACTAACTGGAAAGGCTCAAGTTTGAGAGGATGTCGTGACCATTCACTTGTTAACTTGCGTCTTATAAGGCTTCCTCCAAACATTTCTTGCAACCACACAAGGGCCACTCTAGACATTTTGGATGTGGCCCCATCCCACTGGAACTGGGCCTCTACAACGTAACACCTTCTTCCCCCAAACTTCTCCACAAATTTCTCAGCACGGTGACATATCCATCTGAAGTGACTGTCGCGGTCTTATCGTCCTTGCCCTGAAGTCGACGTGGGTCGACCACGCACTTGTAGCTGGACGCTTTTTAGAAGTGAAATTTTGCGTTTTACCCAATTTAGCTTGAAATGTTTAAAACCTAGTACTTCACGAAGGTGGTGATGGATTTTCTTCAGCTTCACAAACTTGATATCTTCATGGCTGAATTTTGATTGTTGGAAGTTTTGTTAACACCGATGACCGAGTGATTGTCCTTTAAGTGGATTCTCTTTTTTAGACTACGCGATATCTTATATAAAGTATTAAATACAAATGTTGTAGTATCATGCATACATTATAATGTATACTTATATTCACACAATATTATAGTA